AGAGAAAATTGTAGACGTCCTGATTGTCAACGTCCTGAATGGACATGGCGCATAAAAGAAGAAATCTGTTGCATGGCAATGGAAGATGATCTGGGCATTGGCAAGTAATAGCGGTTTCTTCATGGAGTGCCAAGAATGGTCCATTATGTTAATTCCACGATCTGCTAAGTAATTGGGTAATTTAAGCAAATCGATGTCATGTTACCTCCATTCGTAAACATAGGAAGATTTATACGTTTTCATGTGTGAATGTGTGTGTGTGTGTGTGTGTACACTATTTACATTATTCAGACTATTGTCCTCATCTTTGTTGCCATATGTATCACAAAGTTTCGGCCGTTGTACGCTCCGGCCTCGGGTGGTTGGAATGTCGAACCGAACCCCCTACTTCGCTTGCCGGGGCAGACCGCTCCAGCTCCACGCACCATGTCTAATGGATGTCAACGCCCTCATCCCCTGTGCCAAGGACACATGTCACAGTGGATGAGGGCGTTAGTTAGATCCAGTGAGAGGACCAAAAGTGTTGTGAGTTCAATACCTGATTAGGGCGGTGGAGAAATTAGAGAGGTTAATTAACTGATAACTAAAGGAGGACATCCATAAAACATTGATTTATATATCTATCTAGAGTTATAGGAATGTTTTATTTTCGAAACACGGTTAGCACGTTGTGATCGTGTTCATAGTTGATATTATTGAGTGTTGGCTTTTTCGTTTTTATTAACAATGCTTCCATCATTTTTAACCTTTTTGTTCATTATATTTATATTCTCAACGTGTATATTATAGATAGAGTTTGGTAAGTCTCCATGTGTATTTAAATGAGACCTAATTGAACTATGGTCAGAGAGATATAACGTGAGTCTTCTTGTTAAACATGTTGTAGTATATCCAATATAATTATTTACAAGTTTGGATTGGTCAGGAACACAGTTCCTTAAGGGACATGTAAATAATATTGGTTCTGTGTAATATAGATCTTACAGGTGAATTAGTATTTTTGACAATGAGGTTAGCGGTTTTAAATGTAATAGATAATTTAATTTCTTGTTTTTGTCAATTGGAGTTGTGTATTTCTTTACGATATTTGTAAGTAATTTTTATATAATTTTTGTCCCGTAAAGAAAATATGAATACATGAGCAATTATATAAAACTCAAGGACTACACCTTGTAGATTGCATCTTCAATTTTTAAGCCTTTAAATGTCGAGTCCAGCAGATTATTCCTTGTTTGTTTCCTTTTATACTTCTTGCCTTCATTATGTCATGTGGGTGTTAAATTCTCTAAGTTCTCTTTCCTCATTACGTGTCTCTGAAATGGCAACTGTTTATTTCTAATTTTATATATAAATGTTCTTTTTGTTCGTATTACCTTTTTAAAACGTCTTTGCTGTTCGCATATTTCCTTCATTGTTTTATTAGCATTTATTAGAAGAAAAAACAACAGCTCTGTCGATTCAAGTTGCTTCTTCATCTGTGAGAAAATTGTCCATCATTCACTGGCTGTTCAATAACTTTACTCCCTCATCAAAACAGTTTTTTTTCTAAATTCGGCAATCCGCATTTGAACAAGGCTAAACGTGCCATTGACACGTTATGGTGTCATTTAATCTTGATTCTAACACTTTCAATGGTCTCAATATAAATTGTCTCTTATCCGCTTAAAACGTTTCTAATGATAACAAAGTTAACCTCGTCTGCTTTCTGTTTGACTTCGTCAATGGCGTCTTTTAAATATTTCATCTTATTTTTTTCTTAAACATTTCACAGCAAGCAAGGCTTGAGAGCCCCCAGCACGCAAGGGGTTACGGAGAGTGAAACCAAGAATAAAGAGGGGTGTTAGAAGAAAAGATATAGAGAAGGATTGGGATCAGGATCAAGGCATGAGAAGATGTCGATTGACATTACATTTGAATATTGGAAGATTATAGCTATCAGGGAAGCAAGTAAGGGGAAGGGAGTTCTACTGTCGGGAAGTGCGAGAGAAGATGTTGGAGTAGAAGAGGCGGTTACATTTAACTGTTTCGACAGTGAAAGGGGGGGGGGTCAAGATGCCAACCTAGTAGCACGCTTAAATTCTTGCAGCTTGGGAATCAGTGAAAATAGCTCGTCAGAGCAGTTGCCATGAAAATATTTGTAGAAAAGCCACATCACGTCTGTGAGAAACGACTTAATATGTAGATACGTTTTACAATTCAACATTTATACACTAAAGCAGTAGTTTCTTAACTTTTTATGAGTCATTGACCCGTTTAGTCACGGTAAGAACTAGTCCTTCATAGACAGTCAAGCAAATACACAGTTTGTCATTTCACAACACATGAACAGGCATTTCTTCATACAGCACCCCCAGAAACACTGCATCGCATCAATTTTCAGCCAGCCACGCTTGAAATAAATTGGTGTCAATAAATCCTCAGCAATATCTTCTCTTTTTATGTGCCGTGTCCCTTCAGGACGTAGGTGATCACGGCTCTCCACTTCCCCCTATCCCTTGTAGCTCTCGATAGGTTTTGTCCCTTTTTTATCCAGGCCCCCTTATGTCAACCATTTGCTTAATCCCGCTAGGTATGTCATGCGTTGTTTTCTCTTGTCTCTCTTTCCCTCTATTCGACCTGTGAGTATCAGATTCTCCAAGCACTCCTTTCTCATTACCTGTCTCAGAAATTTCATCTGCCTCTTCTTGATGTTAAGTATAATCTTCCCTTTGTATCCTCTCCAAAATCTCATCGTTGCTCACACGCTCGGTCCATGATATCCTTAGCATCCTTCTGTAGAACCATACCTCCATTGTTTCGAGTCTCTTCTTCATCTTTGAGGAGACCGTACAACATTCGCTGCCGTAAAGGAGGACAGATGTCACGTAGCAGCTCGGTACGTTATTTTAATATAAATTATATTTGCAAATCTTCTTCTGTTACCAAAGAAATCCTCCTGTCTCGTAATACTCTTCCTAGCTTTTGGAATGCGTCTTTGGCCATCCCAATCCGTCTTCGGAGTTCAGTGTCACACTTACCGTCCTTTATCAAAACACTTCCCAGATACTTAAATTTCCGCCCCTATGATAATCCAGCCGTGATAGACCGTGGAAAATGAGCATTATCACTTGCCCTTATGGTTGGAATATAAGAATTTGAAATGAGATTGTAAAGAGGGTTAACCCATTACCATTCAAAGATCAACTTTAAACTTGAAACCCTTACTTATCCTGGACTCTGAGTGCCTAATTACTGTTCAATCAGGATCCATTTTTGAGGCCGCGCAGTAAATCAGTCCTGAAATCTTCTTTTGCTGTTAACAGCCGTAGTGACCACACGTTTATTGGAGCTGTCTTTTCCGACGTTAATAGAATACAGAAATCACGAGGCCGTAAATCCCACTTGTTACTTGGACGCTCTCGCAACATTTAAGTCCGCAAATATAAATTATATTTGCAAATCTTCTTTTTAACTTTCTACATTAAAGTCCGTTGAATTTAATATTGTCGTGAAGCTGCTTCTCTACTTCAAGTGTGTCCGTCTTTGTCTTTAACCTTTTGGAAATTAATTGGACCTGAGGAAAATCTTTATATGACAAAAGATGGCGGTTATACAGAGAATGATGACACGTTTAAATGGTAAACGTCGATCCAACAACAAGTCAAGAGACGCCTAGCAGTCTGTACTATAATTAGTGGCTGGGTGTATTTCTTTCAAACAATGGCAGGATGCATTTTCTTTCAATGGGAAACCGTTGACTACAACAAGGGCTGTATAATAGTAAATAATTAATGTTAATTTTTATCTGACCCTCATGAACCCCATGAAAGTCATCCATGGATCATCTAGGGACCCCAGATTAAGAAGTCCTGCCCTAAACGTTATTTTTTGTGAGTACGCCTACTTAAGTTAATATGGTGATTGGTTTTCATTTTCATATATATTAATGCCAATCAGCCTAAATCGAGAAGTCTTGCTAAAGAAAAGTGTGCTTCCCGAAGAGAATTGAACCAGTATTCCTTTTTCCATCAAGGAATCCATTCTTGTTGCCGGGACGTGCCGTTCCCAATTAGACCACAGAAGACTGCCACGATACGACCAAAGTTCAATTACCTTCTTAAAGAACGGACACTTCTTATTTAGTCATTTTCGACTATATATTTGCAAGTTTCTTTTTTGTACCTAAAACCTAAGCACAGTTATTTCATAATGGATTTTTTTTAATCCGATTTTTTTTTAATCCGACATTTTTTTTAATCCGACATTTTTCTTATTACGACAAACGTTATTTTTAGGAGTTACGCATGTCTGAGTTGACATCCAAGTGAAATTAATAACAACCGGCCTAGAATGAGAAGTCTTACAAAAGAAAAATTAATATTCTCAGCGGAAAACTTAGCATTTATTATGAAAAGAAACGATTTTCTCTTTCATTGGTTTCGTCGTGCAGCATCCACTCTTATCTTGCTTCTCCTACTAGCGTTTCATCTGTCGTGCTCCTTGTCCATATTCAGATGTATGTCATAGTCAACTAGATCGAGTTACCTGCCTGTTATGAATTTAAACTATGTTCGATTAATGCAAAAACGTCGTATATTCATTGGAAGAGACAATGGTCATCACAAGAATGAGTTATCTCGTTAGAACTAACTGACGTGAGTTATCTCCCTTAGTATGGGCAACGGAAGGAAAACACTCTCTTTACTAAGAATTGTGTAAAGGGTTTGTTTCAACATTCCAGGAACATTACCAACTACGGAAGACACCTAAAAAAGGCCGGCAAATACAACGGCCATTTTGCTGGACATAATATTTAAGCTGTCAATAGTGTGCATAAGACACAATTCTAATCGGACGTCCGGACTATGTGGACAGCGCAGTCATTAAGGTATCTTTTTTTTCTGTATATTTTGTATAAAACTTTTTTGGGATATGTTGCATAGACAGGAGATTACTTCGATGGAAACTGTGGAAACAAATAGATTTTTATGTTTAGGTTTTTCTGAATTGTTTGTTTGAAACTATTGCGAAATCAGTGGCGAGAAAAAGAGAAATATGTTAAAGGAAAATAAATGGAAAAACAGGAAGAAAGAAATGTAAGAAAAATGTAAACGAAGAAAGAAAGAAAAGAAAGAAAGAAATGGGTGAGAAGTAAGAAAGGAAGACAGACGGACAGAGAAAGAAAGAAAGAAAGAAAGAAACGGTTGAGAAATAAGAAGACAGACGCACTGAGTATTAGAAGAAAGAAAGAAAGAAAGAAAGAAAGAAACGGGTGAGAAATATGAAAAGAAAACAGACGGATTAAATATTAAAAGAAAGAAAGAAAGAAAGAAAGAAAGAAAAAAAGAAAGAAAGAAACGGTTGAGAAATAAGAAGACAGACGCACTGAGTATTAGAAGAAAGAAAGAAAGAAAGAAAGAAATAAAGAAAGAAACGGGTGAGAAATATGAAAAGAAAACAGACGGATTAAATATTAAAAGAAAGAAAGAAAGAAAGAAAGAAAGAAAGAAAGAAAGAAAGAAAGAAAGAAACGGTTGAGAAATAAGAAGACAGACGCACTGAGTATTAGAAGAAGAAAGAAAGAAAGAAAGAAAGAAAGAAAGAAAGAAAGAAAGAAAGAAAGAAAGTAACGGGTGAGAAATATGAAAAGAAAACAGACGGATTAAATATTAAAAGAAAGAAAGAAAGAAAGAAAGAAAGAAAGAAAGAAAGAAAGAAAGAAAGAAACGGGTGAGAAATATGAAAAGAAAACAGACGGATTAAATATTAAAAGAAAGAAAGAAAGAAAGAAAGAAAGAAAGAAAGAAACGGTTGAGAAATAAGAAGACAGACGCACTGAGTATTAGAAGAAAGAAAGAAAGAAAGAAAGAAAGAAAGAAAGAAAGAAAGAAAGAAACGGGTGAGAAGTAAGAAAGGAAGACAGACGGACAGAGAAAGAAAGAAAAAAGAAAGAAACGGTTGAGAAATAAGAAGACAGACGCACTGAGTATTAGAAGAAAGAAAGAAAGAAAGAAAGAAAGAAAGAAAAGAAAGAAACGAGTGAGAAATATGAAAAGAAAACAGACGGATTAAATATTAAAAGAAAGAAAGAAAGAAAGAAAGAAAAAAGAAAGAAAGAAACGGTTGAGAAATAAGAAGACAGACGCACTGAGTATTAGAAGAAAGAAAGAAAGAAAGAAAGAAAGAAAAGAAAAAACGGGTGAGAAATATGAAAAAGAAAACAGACGGATTAAATATTAAAAGAAAGAAAAAGAAAGAAAAGAAAGAAAGAAAGAAAGAAAAGAAAAAAGAAACGGTTGAGAAATAAGAAGACAGACACTGAGTATTAGAAGAAAGAAAGAAAGAAAGAAAGAAAGAAAGAAAGAAAGAAAGAAAGAAAGAAAGTAACGGGTGAGAAATATGAAAAGAAAACAGACGGATTAAATATTAAAAGAAAGAAAGAAAGAAAGAAAGAAAGAAAGAAAGAAAGAAAGAAACGGGTGAGAAATATGAAAAGAAAACAGACGGATTAAATATTAAAAGAAAGAAAGAAAGAAAGAAAGAAAGAAAGAAACGGTTGAGAAATAAGAAGACAGACGCACTGAGTATTAGAAGAAAGAAAGAAAGAAAGAAAGAAAGAAAGAAAGAAAGAAAGAAAAGAAAAAAGAAAGAAACGGGTGAGAAATATGAAAAGAAAAACAGACGGATTAAATATTAAAAAAAGAAAGAAAGAAAGAAAGAAAGAAAGAAAGAAAGAATGAAAGAAAAAAAAAAAAGAAAGAAAGAAACGGTTGAGAAATAAGAAGACAGACGCACTGAGTATTAGAAGAAAGAAAGAAAGAAAGAAAGAAAGAAAGAAAGAAAGAAAGAAACGGGTGAGAAATATGAAAAGAAAACAGACGGATTAAATATTAAAAGAAAGAAAAAAAGAAAGAAAGAAAGAAAGAAAGAAAGAAGGAAAGAAAGAAAGAAAGAGGATGGAAATTAAGAAAGAAAGGGAAAGAAGAGGACATGAAGTGCATCTTGAAAGAAAAGAAATGGAGGGGAAAGATGTATTGATTATTAAAATAAAGAAAATAAATTAAGAAAGAAAGAAAAAAATTACTCGAATAAGATAAAACACAAAACAAATCAATAAAGGGCATAACATGACATTCGCGACATCGATCAATATGGCAGACATGGGAACAATAAATATCCCTTGTTGTTGTTGTTGTTGTTGTTCTTCTTCTTCTTCTTCTTCTTCTTCTTCTTCTTCTTCTTCTTCTTCTTCTGTGTGCTGTGGCACTTTATGGCGAAGCAGATCATGATCCTCCACAATTTCAGGTCCGTTGTAGCCCTTAGTAGAATCATTTTTTTTTCTCCTAATCCCATTGGCACAAACTCATTAGGCTATCCGCTGTTTTCGTCTGTCTCTCTTGCCTTCAATCTGTCCTGTGACTGTCAAATTTTCCAGGCCTTTCTTCCTTAATATTTGCCCTAGAAATTCCATTTGTCTTTTATTGATGCTACGCATATGTATTAGTTTTGCTACCATATTCTCAAAAACTTTGTCGTTACTCATTTGTTCACTTCATTTTATTCTCAGTATCCTTCTATAGAATCACATTTCTGTTGCATCAAGTCTTTTCATGATCTGTGGTGAGATTTTCCGGCATTCACTGCCATGTAGGAGGACCAATGTTACGTAACGGTTAAGTACATTTTCTTTATTTCTAATGACATTTTTCTGTTTCTTAATGCTTTTCTTAGCTTTTCGGAGGCATCTTTCTCTATCCCAACCCGCCTTTGGATTTCGTTGTAACATTTTCCGGTCTCTGTTAAAACACGTATTTACATTTTTATATTTCTTTTATTTTGGTATCTCAAAATTGTAATTCGCATGTTGGGATATTTCTTTTGCGAACAATCATACATTCTGTCTTTTTACAGTTGACGCTTCGTTCTTTCTTCACGCTTTCTTTGATTATCTTCTACCCGATTTCCTATAGTTTACATTCTGCTATCAGCACTGTCTTACTTGCATATCTAATGCTGTTAAGATTGTGACCCTCAATAATAAATTCTGGTAGGACTTCCAACCTTTACAGTGAAGTACCCTGAACGACTTAGAGGTACCCTACTTACCAAATTCGTATGGATGAACAGCAGGACAGTGACAAGATGGAGGGAAACAGACATAGCGCCTAATTTTATTTTATTGCTTTGAAATAATTGCCATTTAAATAATCGAGTATTAACCCTAGAACACTAACAATGGGTATATAGTACCCAGCGCAAATTTTCCTATTTTTTAATTACAATATTCAGTACCTGATTTTCTTACCTAAATAATATGTTTTTCAGTTCCTATTAATGTTAACTCAAAGTACAAAGTTTGAAGTGCCTGCATGTAAAATATTTCAAATAAAGATTTATATTTAATATTTTTCTTTGATATTTTCAAAATCGGGTATGATATACCCATGGTTAGTAATGGTGTAACTTTAATTGATGGTTAAAAGAAACAGATTTGGGAGTAAATGTTTTTAGAAAATATTTGAGGGATTCCAAATCTAGAAATATAAGCCCTTGAAATTTTTTCCGTTTATGACCACAAGCGTCTCCCTATTCTATCGCTATTTCCATGGCAAGTGTTCTACCAATACTGACCTTTGAAGATTCGATCAACCATGCCACGTGGACTGCGAAAAATCATTTTCCTTCCCTTCGTATGTCATTAATAATTGGTAAGTTCCACACGGGGAGCTTCTTATTCAAACAGGTTCTATTAAATAACAATGACAAGATTTGTCTATTTCAAAGTTTTATGCTGTCTTTCTAATGAACATGTGGCCAAGTGGTTAGAACGTTCGCATACTGACCATGAGACCGTGGTTCGAATCTCACCATGGTCGATTTGTCAGGAAGAAGATTCCTGATGTTATCGGGCGGGAGGGGGTCGAACCCAGCGTGCGGGACCTTTGGAAAGGGCCTGAAAACCATATCATGGGTTGACCCAAGCCTTGTGAGTGAAATTGGGTAGACGGGTCTTCGATAGCTGTTCTATCACGAAGTCATAAGTCATCGTTGCCGAGGGCTCGAGCGTGTTGGCCTTGTTCTAATTGTTGATCACCCTAGATAAACACGCTCTTTCCCATAAACTGTAAGTAAGGCCTGCTCAGCATAATTGCAGTATAAACCACAGGTGCGCTCTGTGGGTGTTAAATAAGCAAAATGCGTCTGAGCAAGCGTCTGCAATAGGGATTGGCTAGTATCCTCGAATACGAATGGCCAGCTATAATATAATATATGACTTTCCAGTGTCTGATGGAGGCGTTGTACGCTACGATTAAAAAATGTTAAACTGTGCATAATACACTTTTTTGTGTAGTAGTAACCCAGATGTTTTTCTTGTACTTATTCAAGAAAAAACATCTGGTTTACTATTACACAAAAAAGTATATATATATATATATATATATATATAAGAATCATCCCAACATGCGAATTACAAATTGAAGATACCAAAATTAATGTATTTGACAAATATGAATGTTGTGCGTACGCATGAACGCGCTCGGTTAATTAAAAAAAAATACCGCTATGTAAGGGAGGTAACTTCAATTATATTGTAAAAGTCTTTATTAAAATTGTAATTACGTGTTTTAAAACATTCTGTTGAAATTCTATTTTTTTAACAATTGCAATTTAGATATTTTAAAACTTTCTTGTTATAAATATTTTAGAACTTTGTTACGATATTCATAATTAATTTTATTTAGTGTTGGGCGTAAATTTTTTATATAAAGGGCTTCCAGAATTTGAAGCTTTTGTTTTTTTTTCATTTTCGTGGTGGAGTATACTTGTATTGTCGATTAAATCGTGAATGTGGACAGAAATGTTCCTTTAAATCTTGTTGAGCGAGAATCCGACATCGTTGTCGTAAAGTCAACATATATATTTTCTTTTTTCTCAGTGATATAATTTCCCAAAGGGTACTTAAATTGATATACAATATTTGTTTTTTTTTTTTGCAAAACATTTGTAGACGGAGAAGAGTTATTGCGGTTGATTAAGTTGGTTGTATCACATTTATTGTAACACATAATTAGTTTTATTTTTTTACTAGGATAAGTGGGGGATATATTAATACATATTAGTTTCATAACTGTCAAATACATTAATTCTTTGTCTTAGCAATTCATCCCTGAAGATGATGTTGGATGAGATTGAAAGTACTTGGGAAAATAGAAACTATACGAATAATTAGTGCGTTTTGTACAGACACTAAAACATTTATCTGGGAATGTGAAAGGATTAAAATAAAAATAAATAGACATAATATGTCTAGATTACTCAAACAAACTTGCTTGAATGCAGATAAGCTGATCACACACAGATTGTTGATCACGGTATATAAGGTGCACTCCCCCAGATACTATAACTAAGGTCTGCTCAGCAGAGTTGCAATATAAATCACAAATGAATTTGTAATTTATAGACTGGCATTTTTGGACACGAATGGCTAATCCAATTATTTTTACTATGAAACTTTCTTATCACTACAAACTGATTAAAATAGACTATTATAATTTAAAATTAAATCTGAATTAAATGATTGAATTATCTATCGTGTGTCTATCGCGTCATTTTCAAATGTTTGCTCGGAATTATGTCTAAATTAAAAGATTCCGGTTATGCAGTTGTTACACACACACACACACACACACACACACACATATATATATATATATATATATATATATATATATATATATATATATATATATGAATAAAACAGACGAGGAAAAATTTTACTTAGCCAACGCGTTTCGTCCTCTGAGAGTCAGTAAGGGATTTTCTTGATAAAGTCCCACAGACGACGAAACGCATCTACGAAGTATAGATATTTTCTTTTATCTCTTTTTATTCATTTTGTTTCTTCTACAGATACACTTGATCGTAGAATATTTTATACACAGATATATATATATATATATATATATATATATATATATATATATATATATATATATATATATATTAGTTAACAATTAATGTGATTTACGACAATCGGCATATCTCCAGAGATCCCTAAAATACTCTTCCAACACATACTTTTTTTTCTTTCTTCTTTTAGGTGAAATGATGAAGCCATATAAAGCATAAGCTATGTTACGGCGAAACGCGTCTTTGATTAAAAAAAATTCCACTTTGTCTCAGTATTTTCACTTTTCTTTCGGATACTATTATTTATCCTATCCACACACACACACACACACATACACACACACACACACACACACACACACACACACATATATATATATATATATAATCCCAAATTCGTAGGTTGTAAGGATTATCCCAAGTAGGTCTTTTAAATATAAATCTATTAAAAAGCTATATCCATGATCATAGCTCAGTGTATAAATTTATTTGCGGAGCAATATAAATGAATAGGTAACGAAAACATTTAATTATTCATAATATAATCGGCTATAAATCTATTTCAACAGTTATACAAATATATATATATATATATATATATATATATATATATATATATATATATATATATAAGGATGGATGGTCCTGCACGAGGCCTTCACCACTATAATCAAATCTCATGTGCCGGTGTCGGGCTGTCAGTTTCCTGAAACTGATCTGTTTGACCCTCATACGTTGAATCTCGACGGGGAGAGTCGATTATATATATATATATATATATATATATATATATATATATATATATTATTCAAGCATATATTTTATATAATATACAATTATCTCCTGCCCTAATACGATATATATATATATATATATATATATATATATATATATATATATATATTGTTTCATTTTCTTTTCGTCGTTTAATAAACAATGTCTCATCAGGTAGTAAACAATGATAGTAATCATTAACTTCCTGTACAATTTTGTAGTCGTACCTTACATGTTCTAATGCAACAGTGTGCAATAAATATTTATCGCTCTACTTTTGTATTGAGCCCTGTTTTAAATTAATGTTTTGAATGCTGAAATCTTACTCTTTGTTCTTTTACATTTTGATATATATATATATATATATATATATATATATATATATATATATATATACAGAAAGTGACTCGAGTTTAATTCTTGTCAAGAAACATACGGTGTTCAGTCATTTAAACAATAAACGAAAAAGAGGTAAGTACGTGATAAAATTTAAAATTTTACAGAACATATCCTTAGCATTTTTCACATCATACGGAAAAAAATTATTTTTCAGATGAACACAACAATTTTTTGTCTTAGAAAAAAAACTACACCCTGATGATGACATTGTGCCAAAATCGAAAGTACTCGGAATAAAATGAAAATGCATCAACATTGTAATTTTTTTCCCTCTAATAAGGAGACTCAAAACTTGTCCATTATTATGACAGGAGCCTAATTAAAATTAAGAAGACAAAACTTAAACTCTAAAGTATTTAATAAGACATGCCTTAATGAAAACATGCTGTCGAAATATATGCAGTATATATGTGAACATTTGCAGATGTATTAACTAA